TGGATCAGCACGGTAGGAAAAACCTGTCTCCCATGCTTAACAACCAAGTTTCCATGCCTTCAAAGCACACATACACTTGGTTGAGTTCCTACGGCCATGTTAATGAATGTTTTTCCCTTCTCTGTCTTTCAGGGATCTAAACTACAATGAGCTGCTGGAATTCCCTGGGGCTATCAGGACGCTGGGCCGACTGCAGGAGCTGTGAGATTTTCTATTTATTCCTTTTCAAAAGCATTCCCCGATGGAGAGCATCGCATGTGCTCTGACTCAGGGAGACCACGCGGTCCAAACCTTTCTTTTATCTTTCCCAGCCCTCTCTACCATGCACATAAAAGCAGTTTATCCCCTCGATTTCCGTCAGGTCTAATCACCTCTCAGCTGGTGGAGGGAAGTGGGAGATCTCCCATCAGGCTTGGAGCGGGTTCTTCCTGCAGCTCTTCATTCTCATGTGGCATCTGATGAACTCCAAGTCCATCTGATCTCCAGCTACTTCTAATATCCATTTCCCAGCTTGGGACCGCAACCATGGAGTTATCTGTGTTATTGTGAGACCATGGCTTCTGCAGGCCCTGTGCCCCTCCTCTGATGTGCAGAAACTGTTTGGTCTCCCTTAGAACAAATTTATAATAGGGAATTACAAAAGTTTATGACCATTTTAGTGGCTAGCTCTCTCTCCTCTAACCGGTCAGCCTGGGAGACGCTAAAAATGGGAAACCATCCCACTTAACACTCATGAAGGTAGAAGCCCCAAGATGGGGTCAAGTCGAGTTGATGTGGATCCACAGTTCCTGTGGACTCTAAGACTGTGTCACACTGGTGACAGGCTGGGGTGGGACAAAAGCAGCTGCTTTGGTGCTTCTGGGAGGCTTGGAGTAAAAATCTGACACTACTTTTTTCTTTTACTGGAAGAATTTCTTGTCAAGGAGATTTCTCAGATCAGACCAGATATCATCATTACTCCGACATTCAAAATGAGAACAAGATCCTTAATCCACTTTGAGATGGCTTTTGAAATGCCCATCACTAAATAAGAGGCAAATTTCAAACAGCCATCCAACTAATCACTCACCCAGACTCCTCTGGAATTAAACCACCTGGGCATCATCCAGAGCCTGGTCTTGGTCCTGGACACAGGATCCTGTGGCTGCCTTTGATATACAGGAGGTCAAGACTGTGGCTGCAGACCTCTCTTCTGCTGCAAAAGTTTGCTGATAGCAATTTTCTCAAGGTTAACCAAAAATATCACAGCTAGATCTACAAATACTTTAAAGTCACATGGGCCAATAATTCATGGTAGGCTGCACTCTGGTTAACAACTGTGGAGCTGTAACGGAGACCATCCATAAAAACTGTAATTCCTGGAGGGTATAAAATAAGTGTGGTTTGTTTGCTCCTGTTTCCTGATGTGTAAAGTCTTAAACCTTAAGTCCTCGTACTCTTGGTGGGTTCAGTGGAGTGACATATGGAACACCAAGCTATACACAGAGTAAATGCAGCAGAATGAGGGCTTTGTCCTGCCAAAGGACAGACCTTGTTCACTTGCTGACATGATGCTACAGCTGGAACAGAGCCTACACTTCCAATTTTATGTGTTTTGAAGGCTCTCTGCCTTTAAAAGTTTTGAGGAAAGAAGGTGTCTCCAAGCCTTTCTCATCCATTAATATCAAGATATTTATTTCTCCCAACAGCGGTTTTCATAACAACAACATCAAAGCTATTCCAGAGAACGCATTTGTTGGGAATCCCCTCCTCCAAACAATGTAAGAAAATTAAACAATGTTTCCTAAATCCTTATATGCCCCAGAAAGGGGCATTTCCTGATGTCTTTGGTTGGGATTTCTGACAGTTGTCAGCATGACCCCAATTTGACATTTGTTGTATATGGGCCAACGCAAGCTGAAATTAGCTCCTTCTCAGCTACGCCTCAGGTTTTTTGCCATGGGTTCTCCTTTCCCCACAGCTGAACTTTGCTGCAGTACAGGCTGATAACAATGAAGGAACAATATATAGGTGATCTGCATGGAAATCTTGCTGTGCATAACAGGATTTTCTAAGCCCTGGTTGACATCTGCCTGTGTTTATTCCTTGTGTTTAGACAAGCTGCTAGCCAGCTACAGCAGTAGCTATATGCACTGGGGAGCTGGGACACCAGATCATTGTGTGTCTACCCCAGACCCATGGGCACAAAGTTCTGCAGATAAATACACCCAGTTGTCAGCTCATTTCCCCTCAGACCGAGACACAGGTAGAGATTTTCGGACAGTTCTTCCCTGAACCACAGATATTGAAAATCATGGCAAGTGACAAAAGCTCTACTTGGCCAGTCTAGGACTTAAGTTATAGAAATACCAACATCTGGAAGGCCATGGTGACACTGGGTGAAAACAGTCACTGCTCCAGTCAAAACAAACCAGCCTCATCCCCATCTTCCTTGGGCACCATCCTTGGAGTGACGTGGGGGTGGGACACATCCAGAATACTCATGTCTCCATCGGATCTGCCCATCTAAATTCTTTCACAGTTGGTGGGGGGAAAGTGCTTGTTTTAGGAGGTGATTCAACTCTCATAAAGCTAGCTGGATCCTAGAAGAGTTTGCTTCTCTCCACTGACTATGACAAGTAGGAAAGATGCTGGTGCTGTGGATGGGTAAGATCAGAGGAGGTGTCATCAAGTGCAAGGTGTTTCCCAGCAGGGTTACAGCACTATAGCAGGGTTGAAGGAGGGCCTTGCATCTTTCTAGCCTGCCTGGTTCAGCATTCAGCAGGACCCTAACAGGCCCTTTCAGAGCAGCAGGAGACGTCAGTTGTACCAATGTCCAGCCAAAACAGGCTAGTGGGAGAGCCTGGGGTTATCTGGAAAACAAGGGTTCCTCACAGGATAGCCAGCACCTCCTACATAGCTTACTACTAGTTGCTCCAAGGCTCTTGACCTGTAATAGCATCTTCTTTTCATGCGCAGCAGAATCTGACCAGTTACTCATTTCCTTTGCAGCCATTTTTATGACAATCCCATCCAGTTTGTTGGACAGTCTGCTTTCCAGTACTTGCCAAAGCTCCACACTCTGTAAGTTCACCAAGAACATCCAAGCTCCAAGCCCTGCGAGCTGGCCACCTTAGTAGCCTTGTCCCTTCCTCTTTTCTAGAGCCCTTGTGCCAATAGAAGACCATGAGGCCACTCTTCTGGCCAGCCCCAAAGGCAGTGAGCCAAGATGTTTTCTGTTGAGGAAGAATAATTTTGAGAAGGGCATTTTTGAGGGAGCAATTCATTCCTCCTCCCCACTAGCTGACAGGCACTGGAGTCTTCTAGTCTCCACAGCTGCATCAGCACCAGCAAAGACCACACGCACAAGTGCCACTACGTTTGCTGATGCTGCTTAAGCAACTGTTGTGTAGTTGCCCAAACACAAGGCCACTGAAGGCATCTGCCTTCCTCCACAAGATGGAGAAGCAGAGGAACACATGTCCCATAACACTGACACCATGGCACAAATAATCTTACTGGGCAGCCAGTGGTGACAGTGCTTCCTTCACATGTATGGCCCTAAGTCTGCTCCAGGGCCACCGCCATGTGGTGGGCACCATCTGGACCAGAACAGCTGCTCCACATTGGCTGGCCTGGACTGGCTGGCTTTTCAGCTAACCTGTTGTGGCACAGCACTAAATATTGAGGCAGAGGCAATCTCAAAATCTCTATTTATAAGCCTCACCCAGTCTCTCACTGCAGGAACACACACTCAGGCAAATAAAATAAATCCTTCAAATACCCATGCATTCTTTAGCTCCAAATGCATTGGCTCTGGGAGGCTTGGGTGGGATGCCCTGCTTACATTCCCCATGGTAATTGTTTGGGGTTTTTTATTTAATTTGGGCAGAGATCATGCCAAGAATGTCAGTGGTTGGGGGAGGGTCTGAGCTTGCCAAGCCTCCTTGCATAGAAATGCCCCACTCTGGCTCACTGTATCTGTGCTGCGTGACACATCTGCTCCACCACCCAGCTGGCAGTGGCACACGATGAGCGGGGCACCTTTGGATCTGGGCCTCTGATCACCACATTTGGGTGTGAGGAAGCAGATTTGCCACCATGGCAGATGGGTCTGGGACCTTGGGCAGCTCACCTGCTTCTGGGTCCTCTGTCCACCTCACTTCACCCTCATTTCTCTGCAGGTCGCTCAATGGTGCAACGGACATCAGAGAATTCCCAGACCTTAAAGGCACCACCAGCCTAGAAGTTTTGTGAGTGGCAACTCTCTCCCTTTTACCCTGCTATTTGTGCTCTTCCTCCTTCAAGGCGGTCCAGGCTGTTTCAGTGAGGACAACTTTCACAGTGCTGTGCAGTTGGTTGTCTTCAGCTCTGCCTCTCCCTGGTCACTCACCTCTCTGCTTCGTTTCACCCCTGTGGCTCCTGAAAGCAGCTTTCCTCTCCGTGAGTTGCTCTCTCGGTACTGTTGAATGTGCTCCAATCTTTTTTTGATTTTTTTTCTTCCTTCCCTTCTGCGTCTGTGAAGGAACAAGCCTTTGGGTGCAGTGCTTCAGCGTGGTCTGCTGAGACGCAGTGTCTCTGCGCGTCCTGGGACAGCACTGGCAGTGCAGTGCAGTGCAGGAAACATCTGCCACCCAGGCTGGGGGCTCCTGGAACTGGTCTGGTCCCATCCTCACACCACCAGACCCAAGAGAGCAGGAGCTTGGAGGACGTGTTGTCTCTGGCCACCCATGGTTCCTCTCTAGGGCGCTGGTCCACACGCTGTGCCCAATAGTCATTTACAGCTGGGAGCACAGCTGGGAGCACAGCTGACCCCAGCCCAGGAGTGTGACCTGGCCATGCCTTGCCTCAGGGACCCAGGGACACACCATCCGTTCTGCATACACAGGTTTCTGAGGCAGTCGTGGCTCCAGGCAGATCACCAGTCTGGACAATGGGGAACCGGATGGCAGAGCATGCCACGGAGGGCAACTGCCACCCGCCCTCGACATGGCCAAGGGCAGCAGTGAATTCAGTACTCAGCAGCGTCCCAGAATTTCTTATAGGCACATTCACCTTTACCAAGTCCCACAGCAATGCCCGTTTCCAAGTCAGTTTTTGTTTCTCTCCAGGTATTTTGTTATCCCATTGATATTGTCTCTCCTGCCACCATCTGAGACCAGTAGCTGGGCCTGTGGGTCACAGAGTGTGTGCTGGCTCTCAGTAACACCATTTCTTCTCTCTTCTCCACTCCTCTAGGACCTTGACCCGGGCAGGCATTCATTTACTCCCCAGAGGGATGTGCCAGCAGCTGCCCAGCCTCCGAGTCCTGTGAGTAACACATTTCTCTGTCCTGCCTGGTCTTTAGAAAAGTGCCATCAGAAACCAGGCTTTCTTCTTGTCTAGCTCAGGGAGGGGACCTGCTATGGAAGATCATCCTGTGGTTCTTGTTCCCGTTATCTTTTCCATGCAGAAAACACCACCTCCTTAGGCACTACCTTGAGCTCTGCTCAAGTTCTTGAACTTGCTTGCTTCATCCCAGCGTGATGCTGTGGACTCAGGGCTGCAAGCAATAGGGCACATCCACATTTGCCTCCTCCTTGCTCTGCACCAGTGGGATCTGTCTGTCCCATGCAAAGAGGGTAGAGAGGGTGCAAAGGGCGGTGGGTAAGAATGCCAGCAGCATTTCAGAGCTCCTAGTTATACACAGCACAAAAGCCAGGGGTAAATCACACTCACACAACGCTCTGCCCCAATGTTGGCTTGCTGCAGCTGGAGCTCCAGCAAGTGCCATCATCTGGAGGAATGATCCTGTTCACATCCCGGGAGGGGACAGGCCTGACCTGATGGAGACCTGCAAGGCCACATGGCCACAGCCCCTCACATGGTGCAGCAATGGCAGATCAGGGTTTTGCTCAAAGTCTCTAAGTTGCTTTGGCTCTACCTGCTTGGCAAGGCACTGAATGATGCTGAGGGGGGGAGATGTGCTTTTTTCTTTGACTTGGTACATGATGAAATCAGCATCTCAGAAAGACTCCTGCATTCTCTCAGGAATCACACCCCTCGTTCCTGAGATCCCCAACTTTGTCTGCAGTCAAAGACATCCTCAGGAAATGAGTCATGAGCCAGATTTACACAAGTTTGCGGCCTTAGGGCAAGCAGGAGGCTTGCCTCTCATCAGTCTTTATACAAGCAAGCTGAAAATGAAAACAAGTTTGTTCCAGGAAAGCAACAGGAGTGAATTCTTGATCACAGAAATTGGAAACAAGAGAAAAACATAAAAATAAAAGAACACAATTTGTAACTTAGCAGATCGCAGCATTTTGGCTCCAGCTGTCCCTGTAGGGAAGATCTCTCATCTTTAGACATCTGGACCGATTCAATGGACATCTTGCCACAAAAGTGTAGCCTCTGGAATGGCCTAGGCTGTAGGGTCCCAAGCGCTCTGTTTATGTTTGCAAGTTATCAGACTATAAACCTGCGCAGCAGAGCCTGTTCTTCATGCCTGCCCCCTCCTTGTGGGAGAGTTTTATTGCGACACCCCACCTTGTTCCTGTTCCTTGTTCCTCTTTCCCAGTTAATTTTATTGACATTAATTGTATTGCTTTCAGAGTTTGGAGGAGAATATCTGGGCCAATGTTTGTGCATGTTTACATCTCTCTTGCCTTTGAAATGCGTTGGCCTTCTGTCCCCGCAGAGCTAGTGGGTGTTCTTGCTGCTTTCCCCCACTTTGCCAGCCCCTTGGCAGTTCGTCAGGTTGACATTACGAATGTGACACATCTGAACACAGATGATACAGTTAACACCACATTTCTGGCCTCCTACTGCTCACGCCACGATGCAGATTTTCTGCAGAAATCTTGCACGGGGGCTGTAAGAGCCACGACAGGGGTGTGAGGCTTGCGGCTGTGCTGCGACGCCGGTCTGTGCATGGGCACTGAGCCCAGCACACCCACGCAGGGCAGCCTTGCCGAGCTTGAGCTTGGCGTCAACCTGACATCGTCCTGCTGCTTTTGTCCAGAGCTTCTGCGCAGGGCACAGATTTGTCTTTCCTCTCAAGCAGAAATAGATGAAAATTCCCTGAGTAGAGCTAAAAAGTCCCTTGATGCCTCCAGTACCTTCATCCCGGTGTGTCCACAACACAGCATCAGTGACTGAGGCTGCTCTGCTGGTAGATACTGGGCTGCATCTGGTTACCCTCGCTCCGGAGGAACCAGAAATGGGTCTGCCTTCTCCCTCCGTCACTGTCTAGCTAAGCCACCGCCCTGTCAAGCCCAGTGCATTGACACAGGGACCAGGGAAAAGTTCTATAGCTCTTTCTCCATACTGGGTGACAGCCTCCAGAGCCAAGCACAAAACTTTTGCTTGCTTTTCCCTCCCTCCTCCTCCCCACCATGGAAAACTGGTGCAGAGGGGCTTGGCAAAAAAATAAATAATTGAAATGTTTTAGCAGCAACTTACTGGCAGAAAGATGGAAACTGAATTTGGAAAGTCAGTGGAGAGGCCACATACAAAACTTTACCCTGGGGCAAATTTCCCTTGAACAACCACAAATCCAGCCTCTGCTGGTGGGGGAAAGAGCTGATTTTAAGGTTTACTCCTTACCCAGCCCATTTCAGTTCTAATAAATTCACATTAAGCTGTGCCAGGATAGGTTTTCCTCTGACTACCAAGTCACTCTACCCTGGACGCTGACATGACACCAGGCCATGAAGCAGCGGGAACAGGAGCTTCCTGGGAATTGCTTTCAAGTGACAGCACTGGAAAGAACGGGGACCAGAGGTTTTCACAGCCTGTAACACCCTGTACCAAATCCCTGCCAGTGCCACAACCCCTTCCCCAACCCTGGGGAGAAGCCAGGAAAGGCTGAATGGAGAGCAGGCGATGGGCAGTTGGGTTTGCTGTGCCAGGGAGGAGGCAAGGCAGCTGGCTGCTCTGCTGGCCAAAACCTCCCCAGGCTCTGCAAGCACATCTGCAGCTTTTGTGAGCTCCCCCATCCACAACAGCAGGATGGGAGCTCTGGCACAAACACCTCTCCGCTTTGCCCAGAGAAAAGCAAGGCTGTGCACAGCAGAAGCTGGCACAGATGCATTTCACAGCTGACTTGGGGCTGGGGAGGAAAAGCCCACTCCAGCTGTAGAAGCAGCTCTGTCAGTCCGCAGCTTCTGCTGGAGGGAGCTGGGCTGGGGCTGGATGATTAGGTAAACCACTGAGCAATCCTTGCCTTGCACAAAGACACTCAGAGCAAGCATCAGGTGTGTGCAGAGTGGAGAACCCCCCTGCCCGGGGTTACTGCTTTCTGCAGCTGTGCAAAATGGAAGTCGGGTCATCCCCCTCTCCAGCAATATCTGCTTTCCAAGGGAGGGCCCAGGGGCACTCGCTTTTGATGTCCTAACGTTACTGTACTGTTCCTTCTCCTGCAGAGAACTGTCACACAACCAAATCGAAGATCTGCCCAGTTTCCACCGGTGTCAGCGGCTGGAGGAGCTGTGAGTAAAGAGATGCCCTCGCTTGCACCATGCTCTGGGGGAAAAGGGCTGTTTCGGGGAGGAAGGCAGTTCCCACATAAAAAACTCAGCCTTCACCAAGCACTGGGAAAGCTGAGTGTTATAACTCACTATTTGGACTGTAAATGGACCAGAGCTCCACTCTTTGTCCCTGTGCAAATACAGGATAAAAATACATCCCCTGTTCATAGGATTAATTCATGCAGGTCTTTTCACAGGTCCCAGCCACAGCAAACAGAAGTAGGATGTGACAGCACTGAATTTTACTTCACTAACTCAAGTCCCAGTATGAGCTAATCAAGAATGGGGTTTATCTATACCATAAATGTCTTCTGCTTCAAGGAGGCGTCCCATGACATGGGCACAAAGCAGCTCTTACCACACTGCTTCAGGCTAGCCCCTCCGTAGAGAAGATAGATGCTTTCCTCAAGTGTAGCACTTGAATTGGTCTCCTCTGGGCCTTGGGAGGCACCTCTGTTGCTCTGAGACAGAGTTATTCATGTTCAGTTCAAAGTGTCTGGAGATGTGGCCCTACACTTCAAATCTAACAGAAGTCCATGGCCTTTTTGGAAAAAAAAAAAAAAAAGACTCCATGATTTTTTATAGAATTCTGGAACCTGGAAGAATAGATGTCTGGGAGCAGCATCCCCACAAAAATACACTGGAGAGGTCGTCCCTGCTCTCTGCAGCACCCCAGCCTGGATGGCCAGACCAGTTCATCCAGCCTTAGCAAAACCAGACATTAGGACACTGAGTAAAATCACATGAAAACAAGAGTTACATAGCCCTTGCTGCCTCTTCGGGAGCTCTGAGGACAGAATTAGAGCTGGATGTATTTTTACCTACAGTACCCCCAGGAAAACATTTGAAAAAGTAGAAAAGACATCAAAAAAAGGACAAACTTTCAGAATTCCAAACCTATAGTTTCACGCATTGTGCCTAAGTTTCTTCTTACAATATTTTATAATACACCAAATTCAGACTTAACATTAATATAAATGCACAGTAAACCCCTCTTTCAGACTACTTAAGTCAGACTGACTGTGTCTTAAATTAACATTTTCTTACAAAATTAGTATTTGGTCCCGTAAGCCCAAAGTTAGCATCCTGTAAACCCCACCCCCACCTCCTGCTGGGAAATATGTTGGAAACAAGTCTGGTGGTGCATGGTGGTACAGCCTGGCATGCAAACAACTTAGGTGTGCCAGTCGTTCTGCTGTAACTGCCAATGTGCAGGTTTTTACCTGCAATACACAGGTAGTCCCTCTCAGCTAAACAGCCTTGAATTATTTTTCACTAGCTTGCTCCAATACCTCTTCTTCCCAAGCTCCACCTCTCCCACGCACTGAGACCCCCAAATTTGTGCACAGAGCTTCCCATGGCCCTCACTTGAAATCTTAGCTAGAAGTAGGAGCAATGCCTTCTTGGTTACATGGGGCATTGAGAAACCAGCAGTAGAGCAGATATGAGAGCCTCAAGCCCCTGTCTCTGAAACATGAACGTATGGCCAAATACCAGCTGAGACATTACAGCCATCATGTGCAGGTCCTTGTGTGAGATGAGTCAAGATCATTTCTGAGTCTAAAGGCAAGTTAGCTACCCAACAAACGCCCTGCGGAGTTGTTGTAGGTAGAGCACTAGGCAGTGGCTGTCTCCCCTTGCAGAAGGTCACATGTCAAGGAGACGACTTCTCCAGGTCTAGGAATTCATGACAGGCATTTTGCAGGAATTTTTTAAAATATTCACCATTGTTCCACACTAGGGAAAATAAAACTGGAAAACTGTGAATGTTTCCCACAAAGTGGATGCTTGGATCCATTCTGGATGTCTCTCAAGGGGCATGGAGAGTGTACAGGTCAGTCAGCAAATACCGTGTCAGCTTTACCCTGCTCCCTCCCCTACCCTGGGGAGTGCAGGAGGCTGCTGGAAGGCAGGTGTGCAGGGGCTGAGGCACTTCATGAAAATACACATACAGGATGTGGATGGGGGGTTCAGCAAGACATCAGGATACACCTTCATGAAAAGTTGAGATGCCTTCAGCCGTCAAACACCCTTCGTCATCACCAAGGCGAAGGGCAGCACTGTATAGTCCTTCCTGAAGGGTCACACAGAGCTGTTTGCTGACTTACCAGATCCAAGCTCTCCTCTTTTGCTCTAGACAAAGCATTTGCAGGCTAAAGGTGGAGTAGAGTGGGAAATCAGTGTGGCTTTGGAGATAATGGGGCACCTTTAACCACCGCACATCAATGGCACTTTACTGTGCCATGATGGCATCAAAAGGAGAGGCTGTCTGAGCCCTGGAGCTGCCCATAGGAGAGAATGGCTTTGAGTTCTTTCGTTGTTCATCCTTGAAATAAGAGTAGGTCTTCCAAGCTCGAATGACAACTTCCACTGTGTCAGTTTGCATCTGCTGCCATGGGATAAAGATCCCTACAAAGTATGAACGCTGCCTTCACCTATTTTCTCAAACCAGATTGTGTTTTTTCAGTGGTCTCCAGCACAACAGGATCCATGAAATCAGAGCAGACACCTTTGTGCAGCTGATGGCCCTGCGCTCCATGTAAGTCTTGTGTGGCAGGGGGAATGACTAGGCTTTTTGCTGGGGGAAGGGGAACTGTGAGCACCCAGCCAGGCTGATGCGGAGTTTCCCAACCCCACTCCCTCTGCCTCTGCTGGGGGGCTTTGCTGTCCAGTCCCTCTTCCACTTCCCCTTACAAAAGAACAGGGCACAAACTTTCTCCCTGGCTTCCCTTCTGCATGCAGACACCCCCTGTAAATAATCTCATTACCTGCCAGGCGTGCAGACACTCCACAACACATGCTCTAACCACACGCTGCAACTCATATGTTGCACAGCACACATTACAGATACCTGCCTCCTAAAAGCCCATGCAGACGTGGACTGGTGGCAGGGATTTACCACGGTGTGCATGAGCTCTAGCACCCCTTTTCTTACACACGCTAGTCCTGGGCCATGCACTCCTGGAACATCCATGCAGAACATCCCATTTGATTTGGGACTGGCTCCCCACAACTCAAAAGCATATGTTAGATGTATTAAGTGCACACAAGCATGCACATATCATACACACAGTCTACCTTGCAGTAGACAGCCCACTTAAGTGCTCGGCACCTTTGAGAAGCTAGTAAGGCTCCACAGGGCATGATTCTCCCTGTGACATGTGGGAAGAGCCCTCCAAGTGCTGATGTTCTTTATTTACTGTTCGGTTAGGAAGTGAACTGAATCACATAAAAGCTTTTTCCCATGGTGCAGCAATTTGAGTGTCATTTAATAGGCCAGCATTCCTAGAGATCCCATGAGTGTCATGTACAGCATATTTATAACTGCACAGGAACACTCACGTATTACATATAACACGACAGACAAGCATGCAAATATGAGCATGCTGCTGCCACACTGTAGTCACACAAATGTACAGCTGAGCGTGTAAGCTCTAGCATTTGCCTTGCAGTATCTTCTGGGTCCCTGTGGGAAGGATTCAACTCACCCAACTTTAGCCCTCTGCAGTGAGACACACACATCTGGGCAGGCACCCCTGGCTGGAGAGATGTAGACATATGTAGGAGATTGCTCGTGTAGTCAGCCTTCGGAGAAGAAATGCTTCTTGATATGCAGGTTCCTTTCTGCTGATGACAGAGGGAGATGAGCCCTCTAGCTCAGATGGAAGCAGAGCTTACTGAGGAGCCTCAGGGAATCCTCCCCAAAACCAAGCCAACTGTACATGACAGGAGACACTCTAAGATGACCTTGGTTCGCCTTCCACACAGCTTCTGACCCTATTTGCCCTTGCCTGGGTACCCAGAAGTGTGACCACATCAGGGATGCTCTGGCACTAAGGCATAACCTGTCTAAGGCTCTGAGGTTTAGCATGTTAGCATTAAAGCTCCAAATTTACAGAAATGAACCCAAAAAGGAACCTTTCCCATTGGTCTCAGTAGAGGAGCTCCTGCAAGGCAAACTCTTGTGCCCTCTGTTAGAAACCACCCATATATAGACCCAAATGTATTTGTCTCCAGGGAGCTGCAATGAGACAGAACTTGCTGCCGACCAAGGGACTACAGATCCCACATTTGCTCGCATCGAACCCCTTGACCAGGCCGGTGTCAGCAGCTTCACTGTCCTGCTCTGCACCCCTCTTACTGGCATGTCCTTGCCTTGCAGAGACCTGAGCTGGAATTACATCCAGTTTATTCACCCTGAAGCCTTTGTGACCCTGCACTCGCTCACCAAGCTGTAAGTTGCAATGATATTTCTTTCACAGTGGGCCATGGGCAGCAGGTGTCTGAGGACCTCAGACTGACTCCCCAAGCTACGGGTGCACCTGGCATCTAGATATCAGAAAGGTGCAGTGCTGAGGTGCATGTCTCAGTGCTGACATGGGCAGACCAAATCCCAAGGTTTCCTATCAATATTAGAGGGATGAGGAGAGTGCAGAAGGGGCCGTCTTCAAGATGTTTTCACCCTGAATACTTAAGCCAGTACCTCCACTTCCTGATGCTTTTATACCTGCCTTTGATACCTTTATGAAAGATCAGCATGACAGCCCATTTCAGCAAGAGTCATTGCAGACCATCTTTGCTGGCTCTGGAGGGGTCCCCAGTCCTCAGCCCCCTCACTAAGACTCTTGGATATTTTATGAGCTGGGAGCTGCAATCATACCTGCCCTATTATGGGGAAAGTGGTGGGGTAAGAGTTGCATGGGGCAGATATGTGCACAGGGAGGTAGATACCATGGAGAGCTTTAAGCGTGGGCATTAACCCCTGCCCCTCATTTCCCCCAGGGACTGCAGTATCAAACCATTTATCTCCAGAGGATCCTGGTCCCCATGCAGCACTCAGCCCCATTTCAGCATCACATTTGAGGGAGCAATTAAGGCAGGCAGCATGGCTCTCCAAGCCTCTGCTTGGCTGAAATAGACACCACTAGCAGCAAAACCCTGACTGTGGTCTCCTCTCTGCTTTCCCTTCATCAGGGACTTGACTGATAACCGGCTGGTCACACTGCCTCTGGATGGTTTGGGTGGACTGACCCATCTTAAGCTCCAAGGCAACCCGGCTCTCTCCGAGCCCTTCACCAAGGAAAGCTTCCCCAAAATGAGGTACTGGTGATGTTGGCTCTTTCACTTCTGGCGCTTAGCACAGCCTGTATTTGCTTATAGCAATCAGCCTCCTGCTTTCCTTGTTTATCTCATGCTTTCCTCCATCCTTTCAGGCCAATAGGTTGAGGAAGCTTCATCTGCTGCTAACAGCAGGCTTTTAAAGTCTTCCACGGGAGAGCGGTGATGCACTCCCGGGCCCACCACCCCCACCCCAAACACACACACAAGTGGAAAGCATGGAGCAGGCCCAGCTCAGGGCTCCTCTCAGTGGAAAACATTCCCAGAAGCCAGTCCTAGCTAATGACATCCAGCTTTCCTTCAGTAAACTCTGTTTGTGTGGCCATGTCTTGTCTGCTATGGATTAATGAGGAGCCTGAAGGGGTCAAACTGAGCAAGACGAGGCTGCAAAAGGCTCAGACCGCAGTGCCGCACTGCAGGCTCTGGCTCTCCTGACCCTCCCTTAGTGGTGGGTCTCCAGCGTGGCACCTGCCCTCAGGCTGAGGGGCCTATGGTTCAGATGACTCAAATTCCCCCCAGGTGAAGCCATCTTTTGCTTGGGTCTCCCAGATAGTTCCCTTGGAGCCAAGGATGCATGAGCTGATGCTCCCACTCATCCAGTACAGGATCTCAAGGCTGGAGCTTCTCAAATTTAGACACCCACTGCTGGGGTCACAGGCCACTGCACCAACATTGGGCTTAATAGCTCAGGTCCAATGAAAAATGTGGAGCTTTCACTTCAGTCTGCCTCAGCAGTGGTGCCTGCTCTCTTCTGACTTTTTTGACTCATCATAGCAGGGCTGCTGCATGACTGGTTTCCAAACAGCAGGGGATCCCAGAAGCTTCTAGAGGGCTTTCCACACCCAAGATGGTAGTCCCTTGTGCAGAGCAGGTCAAGTTTAGCACTTCCAGGGGCATTCCTCCTCTAAACTAATTCCATTGACATCTGTGGAGCTGGTTTGGATTTGTACCAGAGAGACTGAGTCTGCAGGAGTGGTTCATTGAACCACGCCAGGCAACGGACCCATTAACATTTCCTAAATTTTGGGGTACTGCCATTAAGTAGTCTTATTCTTGGGGTGTATGTCTAGAGAATCATCTAAGAACAGTTCCCTACCACCTTTCAATAATAGGATTTAATTTGGAGCTTATAACAGGAAGCAAGCTTGTATACAGTTTCCATAGCCTCCCGGGGCTCAGCCAGAAATGTTTGGGAACTTAAAACAAAAGCATATTTTTAGAATATAGAGTTTCACCATATTTACTGATCTTGTCAGAAGACCTTAATTGTCTGGAAAACCTGAGGTTCCTTTGCCTTCATCAGCAATCTTCCTGACTTCCAGCAAAGAAGCAGGGATTTGCTGTCTTTGAAGAAAATGCAGCTGCTAACTGATAGCCTGGTATTTCATCCAGATGATGTTCAGCTGCTGTTTAATTAACCTTGTAATACATGCTATAATTAACAACTAACAATTCTACTTTCAAGGAGAAATCAGACATATTAAAATAACTTGCTACAGTTGGGAGACCTGAGATTTCCTTGCCTGAGCTGGCAGGGGTGAGCCACGCTCATGGAACTGGAGTTTGGAGGTGCCTCTCTGACCTTCAGCAACAAGCAAGGGGGACCTTGCACTTGCTCAAGCTCTTGGAAAGCTTCTTACCTTGAACAAAAGAAAGGATGCCCAGCAAAAAATGGCCTTGGGGTAAAAAATGAAGACTCCACATGCACATGGCATATTGCCAGAGGGCATGGGAAAGAGAGGCTAATTCAGTCTAGGGAGAACTGCAGAAAGGTTTTTAGGAATTATCCAGGAACTTTAGTGCAGTTTCCAAACCTGGTGTTTGACAACATCCTATTGACAGACAGTGTCTTAAGCAGCAAGAGTGGGGCAGTGCAGAGACACCGTGGGGTGACTTGGGTCAACACTCTGTCCTACATGGAGTCCTTCACCAGGGCAAAGTCCTGCTCCAATGCAACCATCACCTGATAGACTGGCTTTTGTCACATGGAAAATAAGTAAAAAGTGCAAAGCAATGGAGAATCAGGTCATGGAGGTGACACACCTGAAAGTTCTGCTTTCCCCCTTTGCAGAGTTCTCGAGGTACCTTACGCCTACCAGTGCTGTGCCTATGGAAGCTGCAGCAGCTTCTTCAAGCTGTCCAACCAATGGGAGGCAGAAGACATGAGCCCTGAGGAGGAGGATCCCCACAAGAGGACCATGGAATTGTTTCCAGGTCATGCTGATAATCACTGTAAGTAAACTGGGCTGAATGGTGATCAATCCATGGGCAGGGCCATGCTGCGAGCTAGGATGTGATCCTGCATTTGCAGGAGGGGTCCCACTGCCAGCCATGGAGTTACACCTGTCTCAGGGAAGGCAGACTGATCTTTCTTCAGCTCTGGTGGCCAGTTGCTGTGAATGATCTTCAATTAGTGTCACTGCATTGGAGAAAGAGCTGATCTGGCTCATCCAAACCTTCACAATCTAACAGAAAGATCTGGCAGTCCTCAACAGCATGGACACGTTTGCTAATTTGGCCTTGCTGACTATAGAGGGAGGCTACCCAAGCCACTGAAAGGTAGCTGAGGTTACATGGGAAGCTTCTGGGCTTGGTCATTAGACTTCTGGGCAGTACGGAGCCTTTGGCATGACATCAGTCTTTGTTGCCACAACATACAGAGGGTGGACCCTAGGATTAATCAAAGAACTGGAATGTGCAGCTGGCCGGAGGCAAAGAGACCTGTGGCTGTGCTACTTTTGTGCACATACCCTCATGCTACAGCAAAGGTCAGGGTTAAGTATGAAAAAAAAGACACGTTTGGGGAATATGATAAGCTCAGCACAGGGGCTAGCCTATGCAGGGCAGAAGTGGCTCCACAGTTAAAGATGAGCAGCGCTTTCTGTTCAAGAGTCAATTTATTCTGTGCTCCAAAATGTATTTCTGCATGAAATATGTTGCACGAGGCCAGCAGAGGAGTGTGCAAAGCACACCTCCTGCACCAAGACTCACAGCACAACAGCAGCTCCAGGCGGAAAGCTGGTGTGACCCCTTTGCAAGGGAATCTCAGAATAATGTGAAAAGCATGAGCCCCTTTGCTTCCTCTGCAACTGTGGGAGAGTGGAAATAGCATTTCAGGACACAGTTTGGATGATGCATTTGTTTATATGTTTCTGTAAATACAGAGGCCACATGCACTTCCGAGGTCTGAAACACCCTGTAGGCAAAACCACAACGTGCTGTGTGCCCGAAGGAGATGGGGAGAGGGTTGAGTCCCTGGGGAGCACTTGGCTCACCTGCTCCCAGGAGCACCATGCACCCAGTCATAACCAGGGACTCTGCAGAATCTCCTCCTGCATCCTAAACAGGCAGGACTAGATCTGGAGACAGATATTGACCCCTACCAGTTGGATTCTCTGTGTTACAACAGTGATGGGAGGCAGGATGACCCAGACAGGTTATGACACAGCCAGCGAGTGAGTCACGAGCCCTGTGTCTCTGCTCCTGCCATCTGCCCTGCCCTGATCCTTCACAGAGTAAGAATAAGCTTTAGCTATGTAAAAAGTCCAGCCAGAGACTAGCAAGTGTGATTCCTACCAGCGTGATGTGGCTCCTGGAAGCATGGTAGACTTGGTGGTTACACTGGGCAGACAGTACAGAGGAGCCGTATCTTACGGTCATTGCTGCAGGAATTTCTTCTCAGCTGGGTCAGTTTTTCCATCATTAATGCAGCCCATACTTGTGCATATAGTTGGGGTGTTTGCCCAGCAAATTACAGCATCTGTGAAAAGACCTGGTTTGTGGCCAGGGCCCATAGTACTGCTTACAGACCTGCTCTTGCTGGGCACTAAAGCATTTGATGTCTCAAACGATACTTTCTCCTGGCCCTGTCAGCAGACCAATACCTAGCACAAGCTCCCAGGCTTCCAAGCCAGTCTCAGCCTCACGGATTATACGTGTGTTCATGAGATATTAGGAGCAGAGGGGAATGCTGACTGATTCTAAGATCAGATGAGACTATTAGCAGCTCATAAAGGTTCACATTTTCAGATGTTAAAGCACTGGGTTTGTCTTGAAATATCAAACCACAGAGGTGCAAATGTGAAATGCACAAGAACGTCCTTCCTTACTATGTGCAGCTTTTGCAGATGACTCTCCTTACCATTCGGCAATGCATGATTTACTCTTGACGGTGAGGGTTTTGTGATATTGGTATTTCATTTAATTAATTGTTGCTTCCTTTCTGATGGCCACCAGTGGTATTTAGCTGTGTTATATGAATCTTGTAACACTTCCTCATTAAAGAGGAAAAATCTCCCAAACATTCCTTCCACGCAAGAGATAAAGTGGTCTCATTAAGAGAAAATAACTCGGGGCTCTGTCCCTGCAGTGTACAGACAGGCTCATCAGGGCACTCGGATGCTGTGGGAGAACTTGTGAGAGGGATGGGGCACACTTCCAGATAGCCATGTCCTCTCAGCCTCGCATAGTGCTTCCAGCAAGGGTCTGAGGAGCCCTTTACAAACAAGTCCGCAGAACCTCACAGCTGGGTGGTGAAAGGCGACTTGTCCCAGGCAGCCGTGTAGGGGCGAGAAATGGGTCCCCGGTGGCACAGCCCTGCTCCAGCAGCCAGGCAATGCTGCCTCCCGCAGTGTGTCCCGCTCCGGCATCCAGCACCCATCCCTCAGGCGAGCCCAGCACCCAAGGGACCGTCTGACTCCAGCCACAGAGTGCACGTGGTGCCACGGACCCCGGGGCCAGCTCAGCTCTCTCCCGTTCTCCTAGGGCCCCAGATGCCCAGGAACCCCCCAGACACCACTGAAGCGTGTCCACTCACATCCGAGTAACAGCCATCCAAGGCCCAAAGGAGTGTGGTTAGTGGATGTCTCATCACTGTCACCTTGTCATGACAGATATTTAAGGTCCTGTTTCCAACATTTTTGGTGTTTGGGATATGCCTCTTTGGATTATAATTGGCTGTGTTTAGCAGATACCCCCTGCCCCAAGCCTGGGCAGCAGCCCAAAGATGGCTCGGGGGCTTGTCACACAGGACATCCACCCAACACTCCCCTGCAGCTCGCTCCTGCCACCCTCCCGAAACTGGCTGCAGAGGGAGGACAGGCAAAGTGCAAGTACTACCATTGCCACGGGGCACTTCCATCACAGTCCCAGCACTCCTCTTGGGGACCACTGGTTTGAGGATAGAAAGGGATGTATTTACTTACAAGCATATGTTTGCAATAATGGAACAAAGCTATAGAAAGCAAGAAGAGGACACACTTGTATGGTTATCCCTGACAATAGGACACTGCTTTACCCAATCCAGCACCTCCATTAGCTTGTAAAGCTGACTAATTAACTTTTGCAACCATCTAGGAAACCCTGGAGGGTCCTTAGAGCTGCACTTTTCCTGCTTCTGTCAGGAAGCTATTCAAGAAGGCTATTCAAGTCTCCCAGAAAGCACCTGCCCAGATCCCTTGTCCCTTGCAGCCACCCATGCCCTAACTCTGAGGGAGAGAGCAATTATCTGCAAATGGGCATGGGGACTGCCCTGGCTAAGGCAGAAGATACAAAAGGGGAAGAAGAATCCAGCCCAATGTTTTTTGTTCTACCCCTTCTCCAGCAATTCTCCTCCTCTTCCTCCCACTTCAGTGTTCATACAGCCGACTGGGAACCATTTTCTATGGAAAGGGCACTATTAGCAAAGTGGGTTTTTTCCATAAGGCCTCAGAAAGTGGAGATGCTTTAGCAAAATTCAAATAAATAAGGCTACTTCAAAAACAATGCAGTCTGCCTTGCTAGAACACAACAGCCATTTTGTTTTCTCTACAGTTCCCTGGCTGGGAGAAGTACTGATTCTAGCAGAGAGAAGTACATTTTCTGCTTTGAATCCTACTGTGCTGGCCAAGGATTGCTTTGCAATTCACATCTAGCTCAGTAGTCCAGGCAAAACAAAAGATCGCTGCCTTCACCTATGCTTAAAACCAGCCACTGTGAATTCTGGTCCTTTGAAGAGAAAAGGGATGGGGCAGATTACACTTTAACATTACCATGGGTTGGGTGGCAGGGCGGCACAGAAAGTGCAAGTCTGTGCATTGATTTGAGTATGACTGCACATCACAGCCTCCGCGCTGTGGATGGAAAAGACACTGGAGATTTATAAGACTATAAAATACAAGGAGGAAATATTTTTCCATCCCACTGTGAGTGTTTTCTTGCCAGACTCCAAAGCAGCAGTAATATTTCAACTCTTACACAGACAGATTTTAAAAATGGCATTTTTTTTCCAAAGCTCACTGAAGCTGAGAAAGCCACAATGCTTGTCAGAAGGCACTAAAGATAGCATGTTATTTGTCATCAGATAATCCCAGCTGTATTTTCAAACATAGGCAGGGAGCAGACCTCATGAGAGGCACCATTTCTAAGCAGATTAGGCAACTAAATCCCACTTAGGTTAGCCACATCTGCATCACTGTGGAAACTCGCCTTCCTGGCCAGTGTCTGAGCTGCCAGCTGCACACCTGGGCACCACCATCCATCCATATCATCCAAGGGAGAGTTCATCCCACAGCCACAAATCCAGCTCCCTGGCTATCGGGCTGCAGCAAGCACAAAACACGTCCTTTCCCTTTCCTCCCGCCTGCAGAACACCCTCTGGAGATCTCCACTGGGAACAGAAGGCCGTGCTGGTGCCATGGGTGGGGATGGTGCAGCAGGACAGCATCTGTCCTCACTGTGTCCCAGCGCTGTGAATTAGTGGTAGTTTGAGAAGAGGAACGAGGACAAAACAGAAAAGCATGTCTTGGATTAGATTAAGAGGATGCCATTCTCCTTGGTGATGACCAGGCCATCGAAAACACAGCTGAGGTCTCAGCCCCCTTCTCTTCCAGCAGCTTCTCCTTCAGCCAGGGGATCTCTGCCTGACCCTCAGAGACCCCAGGCCTGGCTCAGGGTGCAGCTCCCAGAGTGATGGAGATGCTGGCCTAGCAGGCTGGGCTCCGAGGGCGTACAGTCTGGTTGCATAAACCCCTTGGATCCAAAGCCTGCAGGGATGGGCAATCAGTCTGCCTTTAAGCAAATCTAGGACTGGGAACCTCCAGGGTTAAAAACAAGGCACCATAGTCCCAAGAAATCATAGGACATAAAATAAAGCAATAAATGTTGGGTTCTCTTGTCTTCTTGCTTCTGAGCCGTTTGGTGGTGGTGGTGGTGGTTGCTGATGAAGAATCTGTGCTGCAAGTAGAGGCTAACGACTCTCTTTGAACAAAGCTCCAAAGTCCTTGTTGATGAACTAACATTGGACAAGGCCTGCCCAGAAAGCTTCCATTTAGAAGATGCATTTGAAGGCTTTGTTTTCTGTAACCACATAGGCTACAGTATTTCTTTATTTTTAATAAGGCATGCTGGGAGGAGGGATCCGCAGTCACACAACTCTGGGATCTGGGGCTCTTACGCTTCAAATGTTGGGAGTAACCTAAGAACAGAGGGGTTGGCCACATTGCAACCCACCAATGTTTACAAGACCTTCTTCCTCTACAGCAGTGACTGCAGGGGACAAACTGGACACCAGCAGCTACTTTGAACTTGTGGGCTGGGAACTGGCTGGGAAGGTCTGTGTTGAGGACAAGCAGTGAGAAAAGCTTCTGGCCCAGCTAGCCCCAATGGCCCTGCTTGTGCTTCTCTGAGCATCATTTCTCATTGTTTTCTTCCCAGATGACCTAGATGCAGATGACCCCCAGCTGGACCTTGAGGAATCAAAGCTGCACCCCACTATTCAGTGCACACCAAGTCCCGGTGAGCAGCCAGGGAAACCTTTGAACACAACTGGGATCCTTTGAGCTTCTCTAAATCCCCAGGATCCCACGACCCTTCCTGCAGCGTCTCACAGACGTGCAGATCAGAAGCCTGAATGATTGGGCTTTGGCCAAACTAGTGACAAGTGAGGAGCTTCATTCTCCCACTCAGATGTAGCTGCCCTCCTATGAGGAGAGGACAAGATTACGGTATCCCTGACCCGGAGTCCCAGGTATCACCAGCTCCTCCATCCACCAACCTGCCCACAGTCAGACTCTGGCTTTCAAGAAATTCCTGTTCCCTTGCAAGACCTAGACTTTGCTTTGTCCCAGCCAGCCCAGAATATTGCATGACAAGTCCTTGTCCTTGATCTCCCGATCATACTTGCAGCACTGCAAACTGCAGGGGTACTTTACTCTGTTTCCTGAGAAAGGGAGAGAAGACAAGTGCTGGACTGCACCCAGCCACTTTCTCTTTACTTCCATGAAAAACATGCCAGTGGGCGCAGACTGGCTGGGACACAAGGAAGCTGCTTTCTGATTTTGTCCCCGTTCACAGCTCAGTGGTGTCCTACACAAGCACAGCTGGAGGCTGGAGAGGCCTGGCTCCATCCAGGCAGCTGTGGGACACTGGCAGGGATGGAGTTTTCACCACTTTTCCCACTGAGTTTGCTGCAAAAGAGACAAGAAGGAACAAGATTTTAGCAGAGGGCATGCCCTGCTGCTTGGGTACAGAGGTGCTGGCTCTCTGAGGAAAGCCAGCCAAAGACCTCCACTCCCTTTGAGCTGAACAAGATTTCTCAGTTTCCTCTAATTTCTTTTGCTCTCTACCACCTAAAACTTGGCCTGTCCTCTTTCTGGTTTTGCTGAGCTCCCTCCCTGAGCCCCTCACTGTAACATCTGAATCCCTCCCAGAGGCAACTCTCTCTCATTGCACTGTCTCTCCCCACTCTCTTCTTTTTCCTTTGGCAAACAGCATCCACCACCAGTCCCCTTTTTACCCCTCCATGACTTTCCCTTCTCACTCTCCCTTCTCCCCATGTCCATCCTCCACCATTCTTTCTCCTGACATCCTCCCACGTTCTCCTTGCCCAGGTCCCTCTCTCCCTTCCCTGCCACCCCAGCATCCTCCCTCTCTGTCCCTCCTTCCTGCTCTAACACTTCATCTCATCTTGGCCAGCCCCTCCGTGCAGAGGTCATTCATGCAGAAACAATAAGACACCACTTAGCCAAGGTCTTGAGTGTAAGGGCAGAGGCTTGCAATGTCAGAGCTGGATGCAGCATCCTGCCATCTCTCACATGTCTCCACACCACTAACTCCAAGATCCCAGGGGGTATGTGAGAAGGAGCAGCTAATGGCACAGTGGCCCAAATGCCAGGCTGACACCAGGAATGTTAGTGGGTCTGGAGTCCCACAGAAATGTGGGGCATTATTGTCATGAGTTCCTTTGGACAAAGGCCCACCTGGAGCTCAGACTCTGCCCCATTGAACAGTATAGGGCAGGTGGGACATGAGAGCAAAAAGACTTTGCCATGCATACGGTCATGGAGTGGCAATGCTTTTTTTATATTTTAGGAGCTCTGATAAGTTTGCCATTTCTCATTTTGCATATGACCTCTCCCTGCATCTCGTTTCTGCCCTGGACAAGATCTGAGAGGGGGCCCCGGTCGGCGTGCCAGAGGCACCCCAGTGTGGGGACAGGAGCACAGGGGAGCTGGGACAGAGCCAAGAGGCAGCACTGCTGCCATCCTGCTGCAGAAGAGGGCAGACAATGTTGTATGCTCCTTTCCAGCCCTCAGCATTCAATAGGCCAGGGGCTGGTGGGGTCAGGAGAGGGCTGGGACCTGGCCGCTGCTCCAAGCAGCACCGCTAGAGCAAAGCGGTATAGAATAGAGGGTTTAACTTTGGGTTTTGTTTTCTTCAAGGTCCCTTCAAGCCTTGCGATCACTTGTTTGAGAGCTGGATCATCCGCCTGGGAGTCTGGGTCATCGTTCTGGTCTCGGTGCTCTGCAATGGGCTGGTCATTCTGGCTGTCTTTGCCTCTCCCAGCTACCTCTCTCCAGTTAAGTTCATCATCGGCTCCATAGCTGGAGCCAACATGCTGACTGGCATTTACTGCAGTATGCTGGCTCTCGTCGACGCCCTGACCTACGGCCAGTTTGCCAAATACGGTGCAAGATGGGAGACCGGCGCAGGCTGCAGGGTGACGGGGTTCCTGTCAGTGTTTGCCTCTGAGGCTGCCATCTTTCTGCTGACATTGGCTGCCGTGCAGTGCAGCATTTCAGTCTCCTGTGTGCGGAGCTACAGAAAGTCACCCTCCTTAGGCAAGGTCAAGGCTGCTGTCTTTTGCTGCCTGTTGCTGTCCTCTGTGGCTGCCGTTCTGCCTCTCTTCTCCATTGGGGAATATGGAGCATCCCCTCTCTGTCTCCCGTACCCCATTCCGGATGGGAAAGCTGCCACCCTGGGCTTCACTGTGGCCTTGGTGATGACAAACATGCTCTGCTTCCTGACTATCACGGGCACCTACATCCGACTCTACTGCAACCTGCTGAAAGGGGAGTTCAGCGCTGTCTGGGACTGTGCCATGGTCAAGCATGTGGCCTGGCTGATCTTCACCAACTGCCTCCTCTACTGCCCAGTGGCCTTCCTCACTTTCTCCTCCACACTCAACCTCTTCCTCATCACTCCAGAGGTCATCAAATCCGTCCTCCTTGTGGTCCTGCCCCTGCCCGCCTGCCTGAACCCCTTGCTCTACCTGCTCTTCAACCCCCACTTCAGAGATGACCTCCGCCTGCTGAGGCAGAAGAGCCAGGACAAGGGGAGCTACCCCCAGTCCTGTGGGGTCGATGACATGGAGAAAAGCTCCTATGACTCCACCCAGGCTCTGGTGAGCTTCTCCGACATCGACCACATATTCGAGACACCTGATTCCCTGGGAGTGCACCCCATCCTCGACAGCTACAGCTTCCCCTCCATGACCCTTGTCCCCTGCCAGCAAAGGGTGGGCACCAGAGGGAAGGAGAGGGGCTTGTCTGAGCATTGTCCCTGCCTCAATGACAGTGAGGTGCTGATTGCTTCAGAGAGTCAAGATCCAGCTGGCAGCAGCCTCCGGATAGCTTTCTTCCCCTCCCCGCCCACGCCGCCTTACACATCTCACTTATAAACCTCCTCTAAGTAGCCATGCCAAACAACCCCACACCACACACTGAGGGCCAGCCCCAGTGCCGGGTGGCCAGCAAGGTGACAGCAGGCTGCTCCATGTAAAGCACCAGTACAACCCATCTACCCTCACCCCCCATCATATCTGCCTGGGCAACCGGCACGGCTCTGCCAGCTGCCACTCACCTGGAAGGGCTCTGACTGAGCTCCAGATACTCAGGGCTGGCCATGGGAGGAGATAAACCCCCTGTGCAAGTGTTTCCCCTGCTAGGGACTGCCTGGGAGAGAGCCCCACCAGCTCAGGAGAAAGGTCAGGGAGACCCTCCTCCTTGTCATCCTACAGCGTCGCAAGCCAGGAGGAGCCTGCAGCAAAGCCAAGCATGTCTTCTCAAGGTAGAGATGTCTTAGCAAGCAAAAGCCATTGCTCTGTGGCAGAAACACATGGAGATGGCTGACTGCAGTGACGTGGACACCCATAGGGACTTCAGGCCTTGTCCTCCAGGGTCCTCCGCAGGTCCCACAGACCCCTGGAAATGGGCTTGTGTCTGCCCCACGCTATCGACTGGAAGAGCAGAGGAAGTGGGTTAAAAGCAGTGTATCAATGTGTGCACCTGAGGTTTGGACCGCCTCCATTTTGGGAGGCTCCACTTCATCCACTGGGAGGCTCATGGGTTGGGCAGGACCCCCACTTTCAGATGACACCAGGAGCTGGGGACGCTCAGCCGCTCTTTCAATCTGGCCCACAGTAGCTAACAAGGGATCTCTAAGCCCTAAGGCAGCCAAATCCAAACCTCCCTGAAGAAATGTACGTGCTTTGCCTCAGGTCACTTGGCAGCGCTTGGCCAGGGTGCCCAAGGGAACACCAGGCTCCCTCCACCTTCATCACTCCTTCCATCTTTGCACACCTGGGGCACTCCTGCCTACAGCCACCTGGCTCCTAGTCAGGCTCAGTGAAAATGGGGTCTGGCTCCCTCACTGCCCCCAAACCTCACTCCTGGAAGAGGGTCCTCCATGCAGAATAGCTGGTTTGGGGGCTGCATTTGCCCTCCCCTATTTTAAGGGAGGGTTCGTGTAGAAGGAAGGAACAGAAATCAGCCTTGTGGGATGATGGCATCAGGAGGACATGGGCCACTGGGAACAGTCTCAAATTCACTCCCTGCAGCTCAGGGATCTCCCAAATCCACCCTCTCCATCACAAACCCTCCCACTGCCACCCAGCGCAGCAGGGAGCCCGCGGTCAGAGCTCAGGCCCTGGGCAAAGCTTTGGTTCTGCTGACATTACTGCAGCTGTATGTCATTCATTCTTCTGAGATAATAAATGAGCCCCATTGCTGACCAGTGGCTGGCTTCTGTCCTCTTGCATGTGAAAAGCACCTTGTTGGTTCATTCAGCAGCTGGCGAAACTTCCAGCAAAACTGGGCTGCTGTGGCTTGAATGTTGTCTGCATTGCCTGAGTGAGGACTGGGAAATTGCATTGTGTCCAACGGCACCATCTCCTCCCCACCCCTTTTCTTCAGAGGGAAGAGCCAAACCGCCTGCCTTTATGCAGCAGAATTACACCACCAGTGTCCCTCTCTAGACCCTGTGGACCAGACCCACCTGGTTGCACCCCTGATCTGCTGCTCCTCTGCATCTAGTGTCTGGGTTCATGAGCAGGACAGAGTGTGCTGCATAAAAGTTTACAGCCATCATATAACAGGGTCTCCCATGCAAAGACAGACTCCCCAGCCAGACCCTAGCTCTGCTTCCCTTCTCTGCACATCAGCCCTGTAGTCTTATCTCAAGAAGAAAAACTTGATAGGAAATCAGAGGAATGAGATCCAAAGACTAGAGAAGAGGATGGGAAGCCCAAATTTAGTGACAAAATCCAAAGTTCTGCTATGCAGTCCAGGTGAGAACTATGAAAAACATGCCCTGTTGTAATACTTGAATCCTGATCCAGACTTCTGATATCCTACAGATGCTCAAAATCAGTTCTCACGCTTGGCTCGTTAAAAACACTGAGCCATTTTCTTCCATTTCCTTAGGGCTGCTCATGTGCACATCACTGGAAAAGACTCATATCTAGTTCGATTTGCAGAAATAAAATGCTCCTTCAGAAGTGGGATAATACCTCCCCAGCATAAATCCAAATTCCCCAGCATGTACCCTAACTCCATAAGGAAATCCCTAATTATAAGACATCCCAAAATAAACCCCACTGACATTGACACAATGAGAATCATTCTAAGTCACAGACTAACCACAACACTCTCTTGCCTGAAATCCCCTGCACAGCACTGCTGCTGGGAGTATTCATGCCACGCTAGCAGGAGTTAAGGTACCCAGACAAACACTTGACAGACAGCTGTCCCCAACAGATGGAGCGCATGAGCTCTGCATGGGCACTGGGCCATCAGGGAACAGTCACACAACATCAGCAGTACTTGGGACAACAAAAGCAGGATGCTTTTCCCCAGTTGTCCCAGCTGGTAGATAGGGTTCCCAAAATGTGTGGATGTTATGCACAGTTCCTACACACACATCAGTGTGCATGGACAGGCTGCCATGGCTGGAGAGATTGTGGTGTAGAGCCAACAGCTTCCTCTTTTCCTCTTGGGATTACATGAATTACAGCCCTCATCCAACCTGCCTGTCCCTTATAAAGTCTCAGCCTAGCTAGGCACATCCCGCTGTGATCTTGTCATAGGTGACTCAGGTGGTGACCTCCATGGTGTAGACCAGCTAGCAAACAGCGTTACAGGCATCCTTCATGGTACTGAACACAGAGGAACAGGTGAGTCTGAGTTCAAGACTGGTAGGAGTCTGGCTCAGGCAGCTTCCCAGGGCTCATCCTCACCACCTCTGGAGCTGGCTGAAGAGGAGGAAGAGCATCTGAGAGTGCCCAACCCAGGAAGAGCCTGAGACAATGACAGGGTTGATGCAGGCACAGGCACTGTCCTTCCCAAGAGCAATAACATCTCTCCAGGAAGCTGTGGAAAACTTCACCGCGGGGCTGGGTAAAAGCCCTCCAGAGCATGTGGGCCCCTAGTAGTCAATGCGGGACCTCCCACCTCCTCTCTTACAGATGAAGCAATGGCCAGCAGCCCTGCTGGTCCTGTCTGTGCTAGAGCACAGCACAGCACAGCGCGCCCCTACGGCACCTCGCTCCATCCTTCAGGGTACCCTCAGTAGATGCTGCCCATGTAGGTTCTGACCACTACCCCCTGCTCACCCATAATCCCTGCTTCATCCTGTCTTCTACCTCACTTGTTTCTTCAGGCACATGCCTGGAGGGTGTCCCCTGTGAGAGGCACATTGCCTATGCCAAGGAAGGCTGCAGGGCACCTCTGGGGCAGGAGGGACTGAGAGAGCACCAGGCCACCCCAAAGGGCTTTGAGGCCGGAAAGCAGACAAACTGTAAAGCACAGAAGCACTTCATTGCTGTTCATTGTGGAACTTTTTCCCATCAAGGGTCTGTAGGCTGCCTCCAGGGAAGCTCTGGTGAAACAGTCGCCCCTCAAAGCCAGTGCCCATCCCATGGCAACCCAGGAACTGTCTACCCCAAAGAGAACAAAGCTACTGGGTACAGATCCTGTGCGATGTGCCAGCCAGCACCCTCTTCTCTACCCCGCAGAGCCAGCTCTCATCAGGCTCAGAGCCTTTCCTCATGGTACTTCTGCACAGGCCAGTCTCCTTGCTTAACTGAGTATAGGCTTGTCATGGAGCAGGGATGAGATCTGTTCCCTCTGCTTCCCCGGGGCCTCGTGGAGCCCCTTAGAGCTCATTTAGAGCAAACACACCCTGAAGACCTCTCTGAGCTGTGGCCCTGGCAAGATTAGTAAGAGGAAAGGAGGGAGCATAAACACAGAGCATGTTCTGTCCTGGCTCACAGCGGTGCCTGAGAAACAGTGAGAGGTTATGGACCTGCAGAGGTGCAGGAAACAGAAACCAGCATCCTTCCCTCTGCTGTTGCAGGCCATAAATCCAGAGTATGAACTCTCTGGGAAATACTCATTGAAGTGCCTTTCATCACATCTCTAACAGTGTACATGTGGCTTTCCACCCTATGAAACACTAAATTCAATAATTATCGAAAACAAAAGTAAAAGCAATCCTACACCACTCCATCTCCTTCTTAGCAGCTGGTTTGGCCCTTACTGGCGCCAGGCTGACCACTTTCAGGCAGGGCAGCTCAGCCCTCTGCCAGTCATTAGGTAACAGGGTAACCCCGCTGCTCCACAGGCAACACAACCAGCCAGGATTACGCAGTCCCATGGGCAATCAGGAGTCAGCTTGGACAATGTAAACCACTGCTGGTCAACCAACAGAAGTGTGAAATGACTTCAGCAAGGCCAGAACAGAGGGAAGTTCTTGCTCCCCGTCCTCCACCAGCAAGAACTCATAAGGCTGCTCTTCTGCCTCCTGGACTAAGCTTCGGCGGTGAGATACCACACTGTCTGGATACCTCCCTTCCAGATGATCCTCTTCAAGGCCACCAAATGTTTGGGCCTCCCAACAGGAACCAGAGATCCTTGAGGCATCGTGAGCTCTTTTCATTGGAGACAGGGCTCCCCTAGATTCCAGCCTTTGGAAGGGGATGTATGCAACTAAGAGCGTGAGAGAGAAGTTTAAGTCTGGGCCCCCTCCCTGTAGCAAGATTGCTCCTGGCTGGAAGAGGTCTGGCTGCCAAACAGCCCCAGACAGCAGCCAGTGAGTTGCACCTCATGGTTGGACAAGTGGCGTTGGGCTGGGAGTCCCAATGCGGTAAGGCTGCAGCTCTGTCAGTGTGACAGACGGGGCTGGCAATCCCCCCCACTCAGATGGTGGTGCCAGCCCCACCCCGACACACCAGAGGTTTCCAGGAGCTGACGGCGGCACACTTTGCAGGCGCTGCCTGCAACAGCCTGAGTGAGCGAGAGGGCACAGAGGTGGTGGGACACGTTGAAAGGGAGGTGAACAAGGCCACACTGCCCTGTGGGTTACGTCTTGGCTGATGTGGCCTATTCCAAACAAAGGCCCTCT